AGTGTTTACATATTACAAATGTATACAGTGCAATTGAAATATGTGAATAATCAAATTTTTAAAAACATTATTACAGTAAAAGATAAGATACATTGCCATTAATTCCTCTCAAAATATTCCCTCTGGCTTCAAACACACTTAACAACCTATCATTCTTGATATTTTCAAAAGCAGTTCTAGAAATTTTTTTTATGTCTTTAGTTGTGCTTTCATGGCCTCCTCAATGTCCTGAATCAACTTGAAACATTACCTTCACGGTCATTTTGACAAAGAATGAGCTAGAAGTCACATGGTAGGTCACACAGACCTAGTGAATAAGGTGAATAAGGACACACTGTCATGTTTACAATACTGCCTTTCTATTGAATGGCATATAGCAGCAGCATTCACTATATATTTTTTACAAGACCTCATAAAGATATGAAAGAAGGCTTCCAGAACTGCGTTAGAAAGTGGCAAGAATGATGGGATGTGCTCAAAGAAAGTAAAAATATTTTGAGAGGTATTGATAGCAATGTGGCTTTTACAGTAATGAATTTTAAGTGTGTCTGTATATAGCTTACTGCTTTTTTTTTTTTTCAGTACCAGGGATCAAACTCAGAACCTTGTGCTTATGAGGCAGGTGCGGTGCCAGTGAACTAAATTCCTGCACTCTACTATTTCTATTGTTAACTGCTGACTTCCTGTTATGGAAGAGATTCAGAATTCTTATACTATCCCACATTCCTACAGCCCCGTTCTTCACTCTTCACTCTTTTAATAACATCACTTATAACACAAATTTTGGTTGTGTTTACTTTACTACTTCTTGTTGAATCAAGTAGGTACTAGGATTTTTCATATATTTCTTTATATAGTTTTTCATTCTCTCTAGATTTAGTAACAGCCTCATTTTTCCATTTGCTTAGTTTTCTATGTCACTATTAGAAATATCTCTGAAGTTTGTGCCTAAATTCTAAAACTCTTCTGTTCATTATTTTTTCTTATAATCAATTACATTAAGTAACCTATTAGTTCAACTCCTCCTAACTGAATACACATCTTGGATTGAGATTACTTTTTCTTTCTATACACTGTCATGGGTGCTTAGTATATTCTTTCAATCTGTGAACTCTTGCACAAGTTCTGGAGATATTGTGGGTATTATTTTTTTATAACTCCCCTCTATTTTCCTATCTTCTCTTTTTAGAACCACCACTAGTAAGATATTGGATCTTGTAGGGCAATTCTATCATTTTATCCCTGTATTACCTCTCTTTTTGTTCTACTCTTTGGAGATGTCCTTGACTTTATTTTAAAGATGACAGTTTTCAGTTAAAACATCTCTTGTTCTCTAGTTATTCCTTATCGCACCCACTTTTAAATTTTAAAATGTTGCAAGAGTGAAACAATAAACATTTATGCATGTTTTTCTTAGCTTAGCACTATTAATTTTTTCCACATGTGATTTGTCTCCCTTTACACATTCTCTCTATACATATGTGCAGTACATTTCGTCTCATTTTTATACTCTCTATATAGTACACATATAGTATATATAGTATACATATAGTGTATATATATGTATATACACACACATATATATGTACAAATTTTGCAAACCATTTGAGGAGTTGCTGATACTGTTAAACTTTGTCTTCAAATAATTCATTAGTATGTACCTCCTTAAAATAATATTCTACATGATTAGCATGTAATTATATCACATCCAAGAAATTTTGCAATGATATAATACTCTTATCTAACATAAAATTCAATTCAAATGTTATCAATTATCTGAGTAGTATCCTTTATGTTTTCCATCTAAGATCCAATCAGGACCAAAACACTGAATTTATAACAGTTTGTGTGTGTGTGTGTGTGTGTGTGTGTGTGTGTGTGTGTGTGTGTAAGATGAACATTTCTGAAATGTCTAGGTCTATTTTTAAAAAAAGAAAAACCCTTCAGTTTGTATGTCTAGTTGTTCCGGATGATTAGAACTGGCCTACAAATTTCTGTCAGAAATAAGTAATGATGTGTCCTCATTGTATTATTACACCATGAGGTCAATTTGTCACATATTGGCATTAAATTTGATCACTTGGTTAAGGGTATCTACCAGATTTCTCTACTCTGATGGTATCTTTTTACTTTGTAATTAAAAAGTAATCTATGGGTTATATTGTACTTTCAAACTGTGTGACTATTCTATCCCCAACAGCTTTTAACCATAAGGTTTTAGCAACCAGTAGTGACTATTTAAGAAACAATTAATGGTGGTTACAAACTCTGCTTTTCTAAATTTATTCTTCATTCTAAACATGTTAGTTAGTATTCTTATTGAAGAAAGGCTTTCCCTTTCCCCTTGGCATTTTTTGTTTTAATAGTACTATCATGGCTCTCCTTTCCCTTCTTTTCCTTTTTTCTCCTCTCTTTCCCTAGCCACTGTTTAGTATTTCACCTCTTTTAACCTTTTTTTCTTACATTTTCTTTTCTCTTCCCTTCCCTGCCTAGCTGTCTGCTCACATTTCTCTCCCCACATTATCACTATGTAAGATTTCATTTTAAAGATTTCATTTTAAATACTATCATTATTAGCATTTTATTCAATATGTTACAATTCATTAATGTCATTTTTTGATTCTCTGCCCTCGAATTCCATTAGGAAGAACCAATTCAAAATAGTTTGTGTTTTTGTGACATGCATTCATTTATTTTCCTGCTCTAGATGTTCCTCTGAGGAATCTTGGTTAATTTTAGTAAGAAACAGTATTTAATATCCCAGATTGTTGCACCAAGTATACTCATTGCTATGCGTTTCTCATTGCTTCTAGGCCTCTTCAGCAAGTAAACCTATTCACTATTTAGAATACTTTTTATGTGGAATTATTTTTGACTTACATTCCACTAAAGATATATATAGATATATATATATATATGATTT